ATTCGCCCATAATGGCGTGTTATCGGATAAATAAAACAGATAGCCGGGAGAGGGTGCGCCTCGATTATACGTCGGCATCCCCTGCAAACGCAGCTTTACTCGCGGCTCGCAATTTCTCGTTATTATTTTAGCACATTCAGACGCGATAGATACACATTGCGATAGATACACAAATTGCGGCGCGCATGCTCGCGCACGCATTATCTCCTGCATAAGACACAGTACTATTGCAATTTAATGAATCTCTCAAATCTAATTCCCGACAAATTAATAATTTATCGAGGAAACCGCTAATAATAAAAGAAAAAGAACCTGCCAATTGTCGTCTTACACTCGCAATGTGAAATTAATATATTTCATGTTTGAAAAATGAGTTTTGTTGCAAACTTCTATTCCGACGAAAAGTTGAATGCTAAAACGATCTTCTTGTTGATATTGACGGCGGCGGTAGCAAAATCAGTGTCTCTGCGACACACGGGGGTAGTAGTTTTCGCCACACGCGGTATTCAAGCTAAATACATTAGAAAGCTCATTTAAATACGACACAATGGCGAAGCCGGGCGCCGTGTCGTCCGGATAAATTCGTTGGCCGCAGTAATACTGTCCATCGCGTTTTCCGACGCGTCATCCACGATGCGAGACGAGCGTCGCGCGAATCGATATCGTCGCATCGGAGTCGCACGAGAATCTTGGTCGTCATTCGAGATCGCGGGAGAACCGGCATTCGATTTTCATTATTTTAACGATATTTGTTCGTTTCATCAAGCGACGAGCGCAGCCGATGTTTCGGCGATTGCGCAAGCCCGACGTCAATACTTTCCCGTGGCAAACGCCGCGGAAGACAATCGCGTTGACACCCCGTGATGGATGTCCCGCCTGCTCAAAATACCCCCTCAGTTTTCCCGCCAATAAAGCCCATTGTAAATGCGAACTATTCGAAATATTAGATCGGCACAGCGATTACGGCCCGTTCAGTCATCGCCGTTGACGCACCGTAATCCTTTCCCGCCTCTTTCAGCGTTCATTCCGCACCGCACTTTCGCGCCTCGTTTTCGCGCACCCTGCCCTCGCGCCGCACGGTAAAAAAAAATAAAATAATATAATCACTCTCTAAGAAGAAAGAATCTTAAGCTTCACCACGTTAAACTTAATTGTCGAAGATGACAATGTAAAAGAAAATGTAAATTTATAATTACTTCCATTACCAGTAATTATTCACACTTACCTTGTTTTCACGAACTAGATTTAACAGGTAGCTCTAATTTATATTGCTTTTCTTACGCGCTCTTACATAATAATGCGAGCATTTAAGAAACTGTATATATTGAGAGATTTTTTTAACGTACTAATGCTCGCCTCGCCGTGCTCTATTCGCGATTGAATTATCAAAGTACGATAAAATTTCCAAATCACTCGTAATTACAATGTGCGCGGAAAAAGCGCCACTGGCTCTTAACCGCGGAAGCCTTATTAATCCGAAAGTTTAACGAGATGTTGAAACACGGTGCTGACACTATACCTATTATTACGCTCGAACCGCGAAGGCTACTCTTCTATCAGGAGCGGACAATCTGACATACCGCGCGCTCAATGAGCAGCTTTACATTGATATTTCAGTAACCGGGCGCGTAAGCAGAAAATCGCGTGCGCCGTTGTAACAACAACGCGATATTACGACATGACGTCTCCCGTTTGCACGCTATATGTTACAATATTCTCTGCGATACCGCAGAGTAAGCCTCACCAAAATCTCACCGAAAGAAACTAATATAAGACGCGAGGATTTTCGTTCCGGCAGATTTTCAAGTCGCCGAGCTGCCGCTTTGACGACGCGGCGGATTGTTTGGATTGTTCTTAATCTCCATTGTAATTGCATGCACGCTCGCTGGGAACTGGCTAGCCAATTTTGAATTTGGATTGTCGGCCGATGATGGATCGGCCTTTTGTACGCGGCGCTGATGATACCTCGCAGATGTATCCACCGCACCCTTTTCGGACGAAACCACTTGCCGGTGATTATCGATTAAGCGCATGCACACACCGCCTCACCGCCGATCTTTTCTCCCCGCCACCCCTGTCTTAGTCCTCCTTTTTTTCTCTCTTTGAATGCTCTCTTTCGTATTTTTTATCTTGAACGCTCGACATCTGGCCTAGACTTTCCGACCCGTTACGAATTTACGCTCTTTCGTCGACAAAATCGATTGGTTTTATGAGATACAATTAAGACACATTGAAACGATTAAAAGCCAATTTAGTTCTCAGGATTTTTTGCAATTTATATAATAATAAAAATAATTTTTTACTAAGTGATATAAAATAAATAAAAATACTTAAAACACTTAATCATGTTTTATAAAAAAAAGATGCACACAGAAATCGAACGATTATATCGTTGAATTGATTTTAAAATTGATTTTAAATTGCACATTCTCTTTACTTGAAATAAATGTCATACTTGAAATTACTGTTTAACGCGATATCAATATTGCAGGAAGTTTAAGTTTGAGGTCTCTACTGAATAAATATGCGTCTGCTTATCAAGAATCGAGATAAAAATTAACCGCATAAATTACACGTGGAATATAACAAACGCACAAAAAGTTATGAACAGATGTCTGCACTTTAGATAATCCTAACCTTTTACACTAATCTAATCAGCATCATTAAATAAGAAATACATTTAATAATCAATATGTACCGCATGTTGCGTAAATGAAATCCTATCTCGATGAGTGAAATATCAATGACTTATCGCTATTGAATAAAGAGCATCCATCGCTTTGTCAAGCGCATCTCAAATAATTGTATCGTAAAAAATAAATGTGATAACACGATGATTTCGTGTGAAAACATAATTTAATAATTTATAATGATAATTTATAATTACAAGATATGAATAGTAATTTAATATATATATATATATATATATTCTTCTTAATAAGGCAAGAGCAACAATTTTGCATGTTGCACTTGTCTTTTCACGATTACGATTGTTGTGCAAAAAAGATAAAAATCAGCGCGGTCAGAAGATTAAAAAATCGAATGCCTCATTCTCGTCAAAATCGGTAATATTGTCTACGTAATATTAGCCGCCCATGAAGATCACATGTATTCAGCCCGACGCAGGCCACGCAGTAGCCACGAAGTAGCTGCGCAATTTCGCAAAATACCGTAACCGTAATTACTGTTATTGCAGGATATTTAATACACGACGGGGCATGTTTTTACTCGCGATCCATCCCTCTGAATCAACCGCGGCTGCCAGAAGAGCAATGCGAGCCTCGGTATAAGCACTCTCGCTTAGCCGCCGGCTACAAGAGACGAAATACGCCTGAGGTATTTTTGACTTTTTATAAATAATAAATTCGCGTAAGAAACGATGAAAAAGTTGACGACCGCGAAAAAAAACGAGGGGAAGATCAAATTGAGCATATACGAAGGGCAAGAGACGGAAAGTAAGAATGCATAACGGAAAAAGGATCTTGACAGCTAGTATGTTTATCGATGATTTTACCATAAACAACATTTATTACGGCAAAGAAGAGCAATACGTTTCAACAGCGCTATAACAAAGTATAGAAAAGAAATTCAAGTCGATTCGACTAAATTCTTTATAAAAATAAGAAGGTATAAACGAATTGATTAATTTTGACACACACGTATGTAAACACGTGAAATTCTAACTGATGCTGTACTCTGGTGGTGCAAATACAATATAATAGTTACTTAACATGATAATACAGAACATAGATGGTAATTAATAAAAATTTTTATATTATTTGTATATAATAATTTCTACCTTACCGACTATGGCTAATGAAAAATTTTATATATCCGACGGATAGTTTGAACTACTTTCTAATGCTATCTTTATATTTTTTTCTTGAATAAAAAAAGAAAGAAAATTGCACAATGTCTATACTTGAGATCCCTACTTGAACTTGGCATTCCTATACTTGAGATCAAATAACCGGGCGTACTTCGTCCTCCGCGCAGTAATGAACAAATAAGCAAATAAACAATTAAATATACATGAAGTAAATTTACTCACCAGTTGCCGTGCAGCTTCTGCTACCTTATTGCGCCTTCCAGCCGGGTCAAGCCGTCCGTGTTTGCGACCGTCTCGTTCATGAAGAAAAACACTCGCACACACATCAGTACGATTACAACCACGGATCCAAATTAAAATGCCTGACGCTTTATTCGACAGTCTATGCATTTTTAGCATTCACTCACGAACATCGACACAGTAAACGCGGAGTTACGTACGCGGATTAAAATATTACAATGATTGCCCGTCACTTTATACGGCACTCCCGATACTTCACTTAACACTCTATTCAATACATATAAATGCGTAGTGTACTTTAGGATAAATATAAAACACAAGATCACTTTGCACTGAATCGTCGCGGCGCGGCATATATTCGATATCTAATAACCGAATCCAACTACGCGATTTGTGACAACCGAATCTGACTTACACGATTTTCGACGAAACTCAACTACAATCGCCGAACTAACACGATATAATGATTGCGCGGTACTTTGGTCGACACTCCCGATACTTGTTTCAACACAAAACTTGCTTAAAAACGTAAAAATTGTGAAAATTACGGAGCAAACGCGGAGCGTGATGCTAATCACGAAGCGGCACGAAAGTATCATGGCGCTTGCGTATTGGCGCAATTTGGAGAAATTTGAATATTATATAAATAATAAATAATTAATAGCTTTTACTGTTGACTATTAACTATTATCATATTACTATTATTTTGAAGTACATTTTATATTATACATATAGTATTTTTATTTACACCCACAAAACAGTTTTAACAAATTAAATTGCAAATAAAACTTTGCACAGCTCTGCAATTGATTGCAAATGAATTTTCTATCGCGCCAAATTCTAGCCGGTGCTTCACTCTGACGCTGAAAAGATAACACAGTTAGAGAATACAGAATTCAGCGCGATAGAAAATATCCATCACCGACTTTACCGACTTAATATATGACATGTAAAATGTGACACTATAATTATAGTCAAAATGTTTTGTTCCATATTTTGCGAATGGCCTTCGGGAGAATTTAAATGTCTGTAAATAGATACGTATTTGAATTTGAGGATCGATTGAGACTTAGCTTTAAAATCGCCAAGTGGATGTTTACATTTCTGATTTGTTCCAATTGACGCGTAGTTGTGCAGCGAGAAAGATTATTATAAACAAGTGAGTAACGTTTCGCAGAAATCACTTGCTGATATCGTTCGGTATCATATTTATAATCTACCTCATTGAATAGTAGCCTAATTTTTAAACTTTTGTACATGCATTTCTTTTTATTACGATTGTTTTTTTCTGTGGGAGAAAAGTATATTATTAAATAACCTATAAAATTTCAATGTTGCATTATATTCGTGCATATACAATATTGTTGTGTAACGCATCAATGTTACTTGCTTTGAAACTATTTACATAGAATAGAAAATAACAAAATCAAATTTCTCTTTATATTTGTAGCTCTTGAGTGCAATAATGGGTAATGCAGGAAGCAATCAGCCCGTTAGCCACCATCATAGTGGTGCAGTAAGCAGAGAACACCGACATAACAAAGAGATTCCACCACCTTCTCCAGGAAAAGAAGGCCAGGCAATCATCTTTGATAAAAGACACCCTATTCGCCAGTCTTACGAGGAAGAAGAGTCGTACTTTACAAAAGTAATATTAAGAAATATTAATTAACATTTATATATATATATACATTATAATCTCGTGTACATGAACAGAATACCCAACAAGATGCAGAAAATTTTGGATCACAGCGACCAAGATCTAACACTGTCTCTGAAGGAACAAAAGTTGCGGACAATAAAGTACTACCGACTGTTTTCAAATGGGAAGGAGGAGGGAAGCAAGTGTATATTAGTGGAACATTCACTGAATGGAAAACATTGCCAATGGTGAAGAGCCATGGGGATTTTGTAACAATAATTGATTTACCAGAGGGAGAGCATCAGTATAAATTTTTTGTTGACGGAGAGTGGAGACATGATCCTGGCCTGGTAAGCATTACATTTGTGAATTTAAAACTATATACTTTACCTTCAATACATGTTATATATCGTATATAAAAATGATTAATTTAATGTTATAGAAAATTGTGGACAATGGTATGGGTTCCAAAAATAACTTAGTTTCTGTAAGAAAATCTGACTTTGAAGTATTTCAAGCCCTTGCAAAGGACAGCGAAGGCGTAATCAGTAGCGCCCAAACAGAATATGGGCAAGAAATACCACCGCATAAACCTTGGGAGAAAGTAGCTGGTCCGCCCATCTTACCGCCACATTTGCTGCAAGTTATCCTTAACAAGGACACACCATTGTCTGTAAGTTGCAGGAAGAGAAAAGAAGTTTTTTTAGTGAAAATTTAACGGGATATCTTCTGTCATTACATATTATTTTTTCAGTGTGAGCCTACTCTTCTGCCTGAACCAAATCACGTTATGTTAAACCATCTCTATGCCTTAAGTATCAAAGACAGCGTAATGGTCTTATCAGCTACGCATCGTTATCGCAAAAAATACGTTACAACTTTGCTTTATAAACCGATCTAAATGTTAAGTCATTCCTGTATTTGTTGGTGCTGTTCGGTTTTTAACTATCGCGAAATAACAGATGCCCGAGTGACGCGACATTGACGAAAGCTTTACGAGGCTTTTACATGGCAGGGTAGAAGATTATAATATTCAGGAATGTACGTTTATCGTTGTTTATTATACCTCAGTCGCGTGTAAAATAATGTAATTACTATTTATTAAAGCCAAATATTTTATATTTGCGGTTCTTTCTACCATATGAGTAATCGGTAAAGATAAAGATAAATTATTAGGATTTGCCTTGAGGAGATTGCTTGTGTGCATCATTTTTATTTAGATTGTGTTATTGATCACTTCCGATGTATACGCATAAGGTGGATCCGATCTCGTTCTGAGGAAGAACAGACCCTTGGCAGTTTGATCAACGTGCTCTCCCATGAGTACCACTTGCGAATTGGCGCATTTGCCGGTCATGTATGAATCCCAGCTGTCGCACTTTGTAGCCGAAAATCCTGTTTTCGAATTGATGCTTTCCGTAAAGTACACGTTAGACCGTCCATGACTGCAAGCCTCTAGAATAAGCGGAAATAAAAATAATGGTTTCTATTGCACGATTTTAGATTAATGATAGAAATACTTCACCCATTATTTCGGCAACGCAGCAGCATCCGGGCTGAACTGCCGTACCGGCGTTCGGATAGAAATCTGCTTTCCCCAAAGGTTGCAGAAAGCCTAAAACACCTCCGCAGGAGTGTATGACGTCCACGAATTCCGCATCGGTGGGATCTAATCGAGTTTTCTCGGAGGCGAGCACATGGAATCCCGGCAGCGCTGGATCCAAGCCCGTTACTCTGCTTAATTTCCCGGAAGTTGTCGCACTGCCGGCGTTTCCAGCCACATGTGCTCCGAGGGAATGGCCTTACAGATCAACGGAGATAAAATAAGAAAAGTGCAATTATCAATCGTATATTATGTTATACATCGATATACCGATGAAATGAACGTTTTGCGTCTTCAATCCAGTCTCTTTCACTAAAAAGTCTATAAAGTTGGCGGCGTCATTTCCGACCCTCGCGGTGTTCTGCATCGGTCCCAAGTAAAATGTGCTGGCGGCCAAGGGTTCCCAATCCACGAGGACAACGTTGTAATCGCCGTGAGTAAGAAAAGCTGCTCGGAAAAGTGCCGGAATCATGCAAAAATGCTCTTTGTCAATGCACAAAAATCACTTGTAAACCAATTTATACAAGTGGCAATACCGTTTTTCATATCTAAAAGGCTGCTGCTCAAAGCGCTCGACTTCCATCCATGCGTTATAAATTTCGTTTTTCGCGAGGGCTCGAAGTCGGAGTTGGCGAGATTCGTAGTATCGTTCAAAGTCACCCGCGTGCCTTCTGCTGGACCAGATCTTAAAAAAGGATTACAGAGAGCCAGATCGAGCAAACAAAACTAAAGAATAATGTAACGCAACGACTGTTATCTGTTATATACATTGCAATGTATAATTGAGTACCGAGTATAAATTATGTAAGTTATTTGCGAGTCATCCAGCACATTTCTCGTTTCGCTATCTTTGATCCTTAATACCGCTACTTGAGGCTGCCCGTTACCGTCAGGGATGAACATCCAATCTTCTCCGTAGCCGTCATATTTTTGGCGCAAACCGCTTTCCCATCGTTTCGAATGCGCGGAATACCACAGTATAATGAAAACGATCATTTGTTTCGACAGTGGACTCTGTAACATTTCGCTGGAATCGAACAAACGAAATTGTGGAGCCTTACGTTGAAATTGCAACCGATGACGGTTGTGGTAAATAAATCACTGGCGTCACGGGGTGAAGACTCCCTTTTAAATCCTGGTAATGTCGCGATAACGCAGCAGTACTCTGTCGTTTGGCCTAGTTTCTCTTGTTTATCTTGTATGTTGTATCGCGAGCGCGGAAGTATCGTTCAAGCGGCTTTGGGAATTATAATTTACATTTGGAAGGGTGCAGCTTTGCATCAAATTGAATAACACGCAACTTCGTATACGCATATCGCGTACGACCAGCGCTAACTCAGCGTTAGAACCAGCTAATTAGCTGATAATATTATAAGTAACTCAGTATCTTATATTATTTGCATTACCCCTTTGATACGCGTGCTTTAAATAATGTGGATTATACCGAACGAGTGATTACCCACTGGGTGTAATCCGCATCGCTTAAAACATGCACATTAAAAAGGTAACGAGGAAAAAAGAAACAGTGAAGAAGAGTAATAAATGTGTACAAAAAATATATGATATGAACATGTATTATCATATATATTTTCTTATTCTTAGCACGGTAGCATCATCTGACTTGTACAAAATGTTCGCAGAATTACATCTTTGAACAAGATATTATAGTTTCTACAATTCATATATATATATGAATTATAGAAATATATATAT